AATTGTTTAAGTAATTAATAACTATTGTAAAAAATTATTTAAAAATTTACTTAACTCTAAAGTGGAAAAAAAGATCATCTCGATGAAAAATTCGTAATAAAATTTGTAAGTCTCAGACTTGAAAGAGATAAAAGATGAACATTTTGAAGGTAAAAAACGTGGCAATTATCTGAAAGACGATGTTTTCGAAAAAGTAAAATTATAACTTAAACACTAAACGACTATCAGTCAAGTTAGATTTTTTTGTAACATTTTATTTACAAACAACATTGTATCTACAACAATTATTGTAATTAGAATATTATGTCACATTTTATAACCTTATTATTTTATTATTCTAACAATGAAGATGATTTAATAAAGATTGACGTTTGTCATGATTTACATATTATTATCATGATATACTTTATGTAATACAGTTTCATTGTTATATGAGCAGACATGAAAACTTAGCTTGGCTTGTAGTCTTTTGTTTTATCTGAGTTTTAATCTGGTGAGTCTTTATATATTCGATATGTTGTTTTTGAAAATATTAACATAAATCTCCTTCGGATGATAAACTAATGAAATTTGATCGTGGTGTCTCTCTTGTGAGATATAAAAATCAAAAAATAAAAAAACTTTCTGTGAAAACTTTCTTATTTTTATTAAAAATGTTAAAAAGTTTACTATTCTACAATTATAATCTACTTAGTTTTGAATAGAATCAATCGCCATTTCAAAACGCGCATCGGATTTTATTTGATAAGCGAAGGATAGAAATAATAAGAAAGCATAAAGAACTCTTATTGGATTAAGTTCTTACGTAAACTCGAAGTGGAACCGATTAAGTTGCTTGTTTATTGCGAATTATCGTTATTTCTACTCGTGTCATTATTTGAAAAACATGTCATTATTGACAACGACGACGATGACATGATGACGATTACTTGAAGGTTCCTTGAAAATGTTCGAGGTAACGATCAACTTATCGTAATCGCAAGGTGGTCGCTTTTTAAGGTCGAGGTCTAACAACTGTGATTCGCCATGAACACGCACGACGACGGTTCTATGCACGGCATAACAAGTGCGGCTTTAGCGGCAATCAAATTCAAGCTGCATCCTCGCTAACGAATGTCGTTGACAAAAGGGTCGGATAAGATCCGCTGAGTTTCCCACAATCAGTTGTCTTCTCCTCGCGTGCGGTGACTCTTCAAGATTTCACCATATTTTACGATAGAAGGATATATTCATAATCTTACGCAGGCTGCGTTAGTCTTTGATCTCAGGAGTTTGCCGCACGTTCTCAGAAAAAAAAAGAAAGAAAGAAAGAAAGAAAGAAAGGATAAAGCGTATCCAAGCTTGCTGCAGTATAATTCGTTTATGTTAATATAAAATTAAAATTACAATGAGGTGCGTTTAGATAAGAAAAGTATGCAAATTAATCCTTAACTTTCCGCGCGTGTACTTGACCCACTTTTTTGCACTGATCGATGTCATCACGATATCATTATCGAAGTTGACGAAATACTCAACTTTGTCTCCATCTTTAGAACTAGTTTGCTATAGGATTATAACTTATTAATCCATGCATATATTTGAGATATATTACTTTGCAAGTAACATTAGATTCTATTAAATTTTCGTCATACGATACTAAGTTACCACGAACATATATTACGAATTAATGCTCGAAGAAGAATATGTCGAGTTTGATCCTTTATTGAGAAACGGTCTGTGAAATATTTCATATATAATAACGCGAAGTTAAAGGATGTAATAAACGATTCCATTAATACAGAATGATAGTAATTATCACTATTACATCGATTATCGTCGATCATGGCTGACCAAGATTTCTATTCCTTCCGTTTCGAAATAGATTTCTCGCAATTGTGTCAGAATTTGCTCAATCATCATCCTTTCGATTGGTCAAATTCGCCTTATAACTTGAATAGCTTACTAATGACGGAGAAGCACAGCTAGAATTGTTAATGCTGGCGAGCCATGGATTATTGAAACACTATTGAAACACTATACCCGGCTTTGCTAGGAATTTAATCGACGCAACGACTTTATCGGTTATTGGCAATCACGAAATATTGCTGTTTCATTTAAAAAAAATGAAATTCCTTTTTATATTCAGTTTATAGCTGTTCACTTTGTGAAGTTGCAAGCCTTTTTATATAAATTTTACAAAAACTTCAAATAACAACTGGTTAGATTTTTTTAAAAGTCAGCCAATTTACTTCTCTCGGTTCTCATAATAAAAATTATAAATTACATTTGTAACACATTTCGTATGTTGTATCAACGAGTACGTTTTTTCGGACGTTAATCCGTCGGCAACATGAAATTTTCACCCTTTGTCCTGCAAACCTGGGTCTTTAAACTTCAGTAGATTTTTAAATTGTACGTTCCAGACAGGTATAAAAAAAAAACTGAAAAAAATTCTTACATACTTGTGAAAAGCTTTAGCAATAAGTATTTATTATCATATGAGTTAATTCCGAAGTTATCGGAGATATCTCTGTAATCTGTCGATTTAATTTATTATCGGTACAGATTTATTGATAAGTATCGCACGATAAGTTTACACGGATAATGTAATTTTTAATAACATGTTAAATGAGATCTCGTTTAAAGCGTATGAATTACAGAGTCGCAAAATTATGCAATTATGAATTTAACGATAATTTTTAAAAATGAAGATGATTTAATAAACGTTGGCATTATGGCACGAAAAATTGCATTTAGAGGCATTATCGAAGAATGGACATTTTATTATATGCTGAAAAAAAACCAGACGCGACGTCGGTCATAAGTTTCCCATTAACGATGCCTTTAATAGCTCATCTGTCACGTTTATTCCACGTGACTTTGCATGTCAACTTTTAGTTCATTATTCATTATAGTTGGAAGATAATGCCAAGGTTAATGTGAAGGTATTAAAGCAATTGACACTGCGAAACGACGTTATCAGGATTTCTATAAGTCGTCTTAATCTTGAAGATTGTCTCTTGAGCTTTCGCACTACACGTTCGCTTCGCGAACACATTGAGCTAACGACGGATAGTCATGTTTTCGATGGGACCGTCGACAGGACGCTTTGTCACACGCGATGGTTAAACGTAACACTAGTTTTAGCGGGCGTTTACGCGGGTCGTTGGAAGATCGTGGAAGATACACCTAAGCTAAATACAGCTAAATACGAGTAAACATAGGCCGCGCGTTGTAAGCGATTTACATACACGTTCGCTCAGGCGAAACTATCTAGGGCATACTATCACTGTATGCCCACATAAACATCCCCAGAAGCCGCGGTCCACATCGACTGCAAGACTAATAAAGTGATCAAACTGCGGTCAGGCGCTTATTGACATGTGTAATTTATTCAGTCAGTTATTAGGAAATGACCGAAATGGCATAGCTGCGAATTAGGACGAGCGTAAACCGTTACGTAATCTATTTGTTTTTCGGTACAACTTGAAATTATGTCGAGGCTCGCACAATTCAATTTTCCAATTATTAGAATATTACTACCGCGCGAGTTTATAGGATTTCAAGAATGTCTTTTAATAAGAACACATTCGAAACTTTATGGCGTAGTAGCGCGAGAAGTCTTGTAGGGCGAGAGACTATTCCGTCGGTTTCGACTGTAAAGTAATACGAAAATTTACGATAGCAAACAATGTCTCTTTGTAGGTACGCTTGTAATTACATTGTACAATCATGATTACTGCTTGAGAGCACACAAGCACTTTTAGATAATCAATAATGTAATGTACTGAAAGAAACATGAATATTATCGCGGAATGGACAAAAAAAAGTCCTATCCCATGATAAAAATATTAGTTTTCTTTATACTTCAACTGAACATTTCTCAATTGAGCGTGAAAAAAAGAATTTTTTCTCACAGTCATCTCTTTCATTTAGTCGAACGAAAAACTTTCTGTTCGTCGCAATATCTCAGTAATGCGAGTCGCGTTTCTTCGCGAATTTTTTCGCTCTCAAGAGACTCTCACGTTTCCACGTCGATAAGACGTACGAGCGCGAGTCCCCCGTAAATATCCTCGCGACACACGCGTACGGCATTCCCCGGACACAATTTACGCGAGACTCGCTGGAAAGTGTCCTTCCAGATATTTCCAGTTTGTGCAAAAAAAAAGTTCCTTTGATCTCGCGATGTTGAAGTGCGATATTCGTTACGGATACAATTATTCAGCTTTCCGCTTTTTCCGTTCAGTGCAACGGCGACGAAAGGTTACCATTTTATACATTCTTCCCCAGAGAAAATTGTTATTTCACAAATAAAAAACTGTACCTGTTTACATTCATAAATACAGGTACTAAACGTTGTATTATAATACAATGTAAAATTTATTTTTATATATTCGGATTATTACATAATGTATAAAGATGTTTTACCACGCTGTTACTCCTCTCAGTAGTGGATGTAATGGAAAAAATCGTAAAACTTTTGTTAGCTTCACCTTTTTGCAAAATCCTTCTAAGACCGTCGCGATGTAGCGCGAGTATTCCGTTAACTGCACGCTCGTTTACTTACACGGATGTCGATCGTAAATTACACGGCACGTGATTATCGAGTCGCCTTCGAGGCAAGATCACTTTTAATCTGCAAGGAAAACCAGAGTGATGAACGTAGTAGTAGATAGTAGTAGATGATAGTAGATTGCGGATCACCACAATTGTTCGGAATTTATTAATTCTTTGATGATCAAGAAGATTTGATCGATGCGGAAAGATTCATCGGCCGGAAGGTTGTGGCAATAATTGTTTGCGTAATGCAGAATCTTGTTGGGAGGAAACTCTACTCTGGAAATTAGGTGGATACGCCGAAAGCCTAAAGACTGAAGATCAAAATTTTCACATGTTAATTCGACGTCCAACGCGTCAAAACAATACGCTTTGCAATTTAAATGAAACATCAGCGTGGACACACCCGCGTCCTACTGAATTATGTCTATATAATTAAATATTCATTTTCGTTTACATAATCATGAAGTCATACGGATCGCCCAAATGTTTCGTACGTTCGGCGCATGGCCACGTTATATTACATGACAATTAAGCAAACATCGAGATGGGCATTTCGTGCTTCATGAAATGCTATGCAAACGTATTCGATATTACCAATTATCGCGATCCCTCCGATGTACAGTTTACTATCAACGTATATATTCGTCTCGATTATATATTTTTATTACTTGCGGTCTTCCCGCATCGTTAAAGCGACTGATAAACCGACGGGAATTAATTCTTCCGCTACCAGAAGAGTAATTAAATTAACACACAACAATCTTTCTCAACAATCATGCTTTAATTGAAAAACGAATCTTTGGTTGCCCGCATGTTCTAAATTATGTGAAAAGACAATTATCCGTTCCAAACTGAAACACACGGCTGAGAGACTGCGCTGTTTTATTTCAGCGTATATTATTGTAACAACACAATGTATATAATAACGATGCTAATACTTCCACGAGTGATTCTTTTTTGCTTTTAAATAATTATAATTAAATGAAAAACCCACGCGCGGCGTTAAGATCCGCGAAACACACACATCGTTTTTTCAGTATGGAGAATATTATATCTATATGCGGAAATAATTAATAATAGAATATTGTGAGGAAGAGAGAGAGAGAGAGAGAGAGAGAGAAAAGGAGAGAGAAAGGGAGATGCACTACATTGTGTGTCGGTGTAAATTCGACGCTTCTCTCTGCGATCGAAAGGCGACGCGACGCGCGCGACGTCATGCCGTACAAAATGCACGGCTCGCCCGTGCAGCGACTTCGTAAACCTTTCTCTCGTCGGGAGAAACTCGTAATAGGATAAGTTTCCGAGGGTGTGCCTTTCCTAAACGGGTTTTCGAAAGTTCGAGACAACCGGGGCTTCAACGATCGCTCGTACCTGAATTTTCATTGTAAGCTCCGCGACACGGCGCGTGTCCGCGCCGCACAAACTTTTGTCCTCGTGCATCCTCGATTCGCGGATGCGAGGCCTCGGAAGATATACGAATTGCAGAAAGGAACGCGTCCTTTCTCTTTTCCTCCTCCTCGCTCGCTACGTAAAGTAGTTGGTTAACTTCTTTCCTTGAACGTTGTGTCGAACTTGAAAATATGCATTGGTCAAGACTATGCATAGAACGTCGTTTTATTTCTAACTACTTTTGCGAAGGAAGAGATTTCCGCGATAACCGAGCTATTAATGCTTCGAATTACACGGAAAGGATTTGCTGGAATATCTATAAATTTATGAATAGACAGATACATATCTATTGGAAAAGGTCATAGGGTCATATCCCTTTTTGGAGTTTTTTTTTTCTTTTAAAAATATTTAAAAATATTACTGAAATGCTTAATTAATTTTTTTATCCCAAAAATATTCTTCAATTTTAAGAAACTTACGGGTATAAAAGAATATACATAGATTATATCATTCTTTTTTTGTGTTAATTTCAAGTAAAACGCTTTATGAATTATACATTTAAATAATACTTCTTATATCAATAATAATTTAAATATTCTATCTTTTCATATCTGACTTAAAAATAATTTCGTTTAATTCATGTATGCCTTTCCCTCCTTGATAAATTTCTAAATCCGCCAGTGTACAGATCTGAAAATAATTTTGTCGGTTTATCAGAAATAATTATGTAGAACGTTCAAGCATAATGAGCGAAAAGTTTTAATATTGTACCGACCAATTTGAGAGTCCTCCATATTTTGATAGTCTAACGAAATTATCTTCAGATCTCTCTCTCTCTCTCTCTCTCTCTCTATGTGTGTGTGTGTGTGTGTGTGTGTGTGTGCGTGAATCTAGTTAAATTTTTAATACTTCAGCAAAATCATTCTTCCCTGCCATGCTGTGCACGCGCCGAAGCAAGTTATATATTTTCTTCATTGTTTTCTTCCTTGCAGGAAAATCTCCCTGGTTATCATACTTGTCAAAGCAGGCTTGGATCTCGATCCGGTCGCTCTGAAAAGGTTAAAAGTAACCGTACCGAAGCTGGGTTTGATACCGTGGGTGGTGGAAACTGTAGTGGTTGCCGTGTTGACGAAATACCTCTTGGATTTACCATGGGTATGGGGTTTCCTCCTTGGAAGCGTCATAGCAGCCGTTTCACCAGCCGTCGTGGTGTCTTGCCTCTTCAGGCTACGTGCAAAGGGCTACGGAGTTGCCAAGGTAAGGCCACTTATTCTCCGGTCCTTTGTTGGAATATTTGAATATTCACCCATTGCGAAATCTTCTCGTCTTTCATTCGTAAGAACGGATCATAAGTCTTCTGGAACTAATTTCACCCGACTTCCGCGCATTAGGTAGTAAAGTAGATTTATACTAGATCTAGATTTTAAGCGGATGATAAATGGCGCGAGTTAACATAATTTTCCCTTAAGAATAATTGAGATTTACTACCATCCGAAGACGTTTATCGACGCACCGACTATCACCGGTCTCTTTTTCCACGATCTTACAATATATAGCGATACATTTTCCCGTCATATCTGTATGTGTTCCGCGAACGTAATTATAATTCTGCTGGTTGTCTGCGATGAAAAAATTTATGCGAAAAGGAAATATTGAAAAGGACAGAGCGCTCTCTAGAAGCGTTTAGAAAAGTATACGCAGAAAAGTATTACGTACATGACGTGGATGGCAGATGATGGTTATCGCGAATGTCATTAAGTTAATATTTAATCGTAATTGCCCGAGTAATTGGATTACACCGTGGTTCATGTTTTATATTAATCGAATATATCCCTGGAAAGCGAATTTATACAGCAGGGCATATACGGCCGCTAGGTTTGACGCGCTCGACATTAACGTATTAGAGGAGTTTCCATGTTAATGAACGCAACGCGAGAGTAATTAAATTTCTTTCGTTATGCGCCAACGCGATAACCATGAAATGTTTTAGCCGAGGCGGAATATCGTTCTTGGCGAACCGATTTCGCAAATACGTGTGGCACGATATTTCGCATGCTGCGCTCCGCGAATCGCCAAATCAAGATTTTTCGGCCGGTCTGGCCGTTCTTAGGGCGTTCCGCTGCACGCAATCGTACGTGACTTTCCTCCCCGATCTAATTACCGAGCGTGTCGGAAGACCACCCGGAGGATCACGCGAATTTGCAAAACACTCGGGATGCGTAGCAGCGGTGTAAAGGGCGGTTCGGCGTGATGTGGTGGGGTCGAGGCCTGCGCAGCGGGATGAAGACGAAACGGAGGGAAAACGTAACCGGAGTTAAATAATTCAAGCTTGGAAAATGGAGCGGAAGATACTTGAAGAGTACAAAGACCATTGCGGCGAATGTGATATTCATGAGCCGAAAGATCTAGATGATACTTCTTCATTTAGCGGAACGTAATGTAAGGCGATCGGAGGAGGAAGACGGTCTCGGCGTGACGTTGATCCGCGGCCAGTGCCCCTGATACTCGCCAGCCGCGAGATCGAGGATTCTTATCGCGTCGCGAATGGAAAACCTCAGACGTTGACCGATCGTGGTTGTGCAAGCTCACGAGCATCCTTATTTCCAGCGAGCATCCGCTGGTACCCACGGGACGCGAACTCGTAGGGAAACGGAAGGGAGCTGATCTCGAGCCGCGATCTATTAAACAGCGTCTATAATGAGATTTTAAATTAGTAAAAAAACTTGAGCTTTGAGTCATAAGAAATTAATCAATCATAGTCGGACGTGAAGGGAAAAACCGATTATGATTGATAAAGTTGCCAGTGTAATCACATGAAAATTTTCAAAATTAAAACTTGCAGAGCAAAAATTCCATTTTGCTTACAACCTCTAATGTTTACAAAAATGCGTGTAAGTTGACAAAGTTGATCAGAACAATCAATGAATAATTATTTCACATTTGAATGTTTATTAGCATTTAGCGCAAAGAGCAATTTTGTACTAGAAAAAATAAATACAAAATGTTTCTGTTTAAAATAAAAAGTTTCATTTACAAGTTTAGAATGTATCCACGTGTTTTTTGTTGATATTTTTGAAATATCCACAAATAAATAAAATAATCGTAAATAAATAAATACACAAATATAAAGTATATTAAAGAATTCATACACATTAATCAAAAATAGTTTAGACTACTAATTTTACTTTGCAATTCTACATCGTAAGTCAAAAATTCATTTTAATATTAATTGCGATCGCGTGGCTGTTGGGATTACAAAGTAGCACAAGAGAAGTGAAAGCAAAATATTTAGAAAATTTTCTAAAGAAACATAATTACTCTCAAGACGCCTTTAGAAAATCTGTCCTTCCCTAAAAAAGAGAGACGGTGTCAGAAAAAGAGGACGGATGGCAATTCTAATGAATAACGGTTATTTCTTATAGCTTAAAATTTAAAGCTTAAATTTACACCTTAAAATCTCATTGTGGACGCTTTAGGCGTACTCATCCTCTGTCTATCCTCTCCCCTCCCTTTCTCTTTCTTTCTCTCACTCCTCATATAAGTAGTCCAACTCTAAGAATCACGATAGCCGGAGGACTTAAATCCTCGAACGAGCTATCGTGACACCGATAACACTGCCCGGGCCTACGCCAGGATCGTGCTCGAGTGTCGTCGACCATCCTCAACAGCGCTTTGTCTGGTTTCTCTCTTTCCCTTCGACTCTCTTTCAGACCTAGAGTCTTTGTTTCGTAAGACCTTAAATATCTTGATTTTCTCCCGCGGATTACTTTTCTAGGTCGACCGACAACATCTCGGGCATTCTTTAGGAGCTTTTCGGATGGATTGCTTTCAAGATTTAAACTATATATCATTTACTTACAGAATGAATGGGAGGGGATATATGAGTTTCACTCATTCATATTATTATATCTGAAATTATACAATGCATGATATTGTGTCATATTAATTTCAACGAATCCTTTTCAAGTTACAATTAAATGAAGAATATTGAATATAACTGAATAAATGAAGAATATCAATAAATAAATAGAATCTGAGTATTTTTTTCTCTATTTTTTTTTTGTTTTTTGCCGTTTATTATTCATTCTGTTTAAAAGTCGCTAACGCAAAACATCGTTGTCTGTAAAATGAAACAACAGTGTACCGAACAATCTCCGAAACTGTGTCATTACAAATAAGAGAACGGAAAAGTTTTATTCGTTCTAATGAACACCGAGTTAGAAAGAGCTGATTTTTCTTGTCTCTTTGTAGCTTTTCTTTTTCGTTAGCCTCCGGCATCGCTCTATCGCCCGTCTTACTTCCGGAAGAAGATTCTTTTTGGTCTATCGTACGTTCGTGCAGGCGTTTCTTAATCACTTTCAAGTCGCTCGAAATCTGTTCTGTTCGTTCCACAAGTGTGGCGATAAAAAATTCTCATTAAACTACATGTAAACCAAATCTCGTATCTTAAGATGAACACTTTGAAAATTGTTTGGTATATGCTCTCTTTCTCAGTTTGTTATTTTTTACATAACTGTTTCACGGAAATATCTCCGCGGTGCCATTAATGTTATATGAAGATTATACGTTGAATAATATAACGTCACGGAGCTAAATATTAAGTTCTAAATATATTTGCATTATTAATGAATCGGTAAATGACCATTGCCTATTTGTGACTCTCTTTACATTATGCATAATGTAATTTGTTATGAAAGGGTATTAATATCGCTCGATATCAGAATCTGACTTTTCCAATCATGTTTTCTGTTTACACGCATTGTCATTAGATTCGTTACGTTTTAGCGTTGTCATTATCGTGTCAATCCCATTTTAGTGATATATTATATATATTTATATATATTTATATATATATGTATTAAATAATAAATTTATTATATATATATATATATATATATATATATA